GAGATAGAAAGAAAAAAAAAGAATATTAATAATTTGAAAAAAACTCTATAAACAACACGCCAGCGATTTTAAGTGGAACAGCAATTCTCTCCAATAAAGGTAACTGGCCAGTAGATAGAGTATATTTAGTTTAAAGATTTAAAATTGGACATTACTTAACGGAAAGATTATAACAGTTCGACGTTCTCAGCTGACAAACCATAGTTATCAATGTCGATAGTTCCCATGTAGCTTAAAAAACAGCCAATATATCAATGCGGGAAGACACAATCTAGTAACATACTTCTTTGGAAAACGAAAGGAAGAGAAAGAATTAAACAGTAAATCTAAAATAGAGTCAGAAAAGGCAAACATAATTGTCTGAACAAATCTCCTTAAGTATTTCATTTTTTCGCTTGTAACTGAAGATGTGTTATATTCTAAATAACCAGATGTGTTATTTAGAATATAACACATCTTCAGTTACAAGCGAAAAAATGAAATACTTAAGGAGATTTGTTCAGACAATTATGTTTGACTGAATAAAAACAAACGTGTCAGAATCGAGTAACGAGAAGTTAATACTCAAGACGGGTGCCACCATCCCGAGTTTTTTGAATTTCCAAATGCGTCCTGAAAAAAAAGTCTGAGAGAAGCCCTGCAGAAGACATTTAAGGCCAGAGTTGCAGAAATATTAAAGTAAAAATAAGTGTTATGCTAAATTGTGAGAATAGGTAGTACTCGTAAGAAAGAAACAGATTTTGCGGGAGTTTTTCACGCTGTGTATAAGGTGCCATTTTACATTGTAAATACAATTATTCTACAAGAAAAATAATTGTCTTCACTTTTTTCAGTTTAAAAAAATAAATTGCTATAATAAAAATTATTTTATTTTCTTAACTTTAAAAACATTTTCATCTTTTTCGATTTTATTAACTCATAGATAACAACTTTATTATGCGAGAATAAATGACACATGATACATCTAAATAAAAATAAATTACATACTTCTGTCTATGCACTGGAAATATATTAGATATATGATTCTAAATTAAATTTATTTCAGTTTCACATAAATTAGATTTACTTTATATTCCTTTTGAATAGACAAATTACTCACCGATATGAGTTCTCAGTGTATTCCGTTTTGTACTTTTTGCTCGGGAGGACCATAACCGTGTTATATACCCAATAAATGATGGCTCTGCAAATAGTTAACAAAGTATGAAACTCAGTTAAATTGCCACTTATTCAGGGCATTTGCATGTACATATGATGTCTAACAAATTCAAACAAAACCTTGAATAAAAAACGATTTAAATTGAATTTAAATTAAATTTACTAGTTAGATTTTGCCTAAGAAATTGTGTATTGTAATATAGTGAAATTCAAATTTTCTCTGTCATAAAATTGTAAAATTGCAGTGTAATTTCAATTACTTTCAGCAAAAGCACACAGAGAACATAAGTGTATAAGAAAAGAAATATTTCAAGAAAATTAAATTTAAAATATAAGTGAAAAGCAGAAAATTATATTTCGTAGTAGCGAACAGCGCCACCAGCAGCGTTCAGCGTTCTGACAGCTGCAATAAGTGCGCCATAAAGGACATGCATCGTTATGATGCCGGAAAATGAAGTTGAAAATGGAGAAGAATTATATGCAAACTCACTTTGGATGTGCTTCCGTATGGCAATCGATGGTTACGTCCGTGCCAGCTGGTGCGCCAACAAGTTGATTTGGTACCCAAATCATTGGAGAAACTGCAAAAAAAACAAAAAAAATGGAACGTTCTTAAATGAATGAAGTCAGTAACTGAAAATTGTAAACATATTTTTTGCTCATTGTTGTTGTTATTACATTACTTTTTTCACATATTGTTTAAAATGAATATGCCATGATACAGCAAAAGTTACAACATTTTATTCAATAATAGAGAAATTCATAAAAGACTGAAATACAAAAACTAAAATGTGTGTTATCACATATAAGGAAATATATCCTTGTGTTTGAAGCAGACAGACAGACATATGTATAGTTGTAAGGATGTATAAGGAACACATCCTTGCACCCACCTTTTTGCATCAAATTTTGCAAACTTTTTAGAAACTCAATGTTGTATGAAAATAGCAAAGTCATACGTGCATACACGATATTGCCACTTTATTGCACATACGTGATGTGAATTATTGTCAACCACATTAAAGCAAAGCTCTATTGAACTTAGAAATGCGGTAGTGGAAAATATCGGAAAATTCAGGACGGAAAAAAAGGGAAGTAGTTGTTTGGGTCGAGCGTAATACTTCGTGGAAAGTAAACTTGCATTACTGATTTAGTCGCACGGTCGATTTCATTAAACTTACATGTTTATCCTTTGCATCGCTTCGACGGTTAAAAAGTCAAAAGTTGCAATAAAATCAATGACCCTGCAGTAAAGGTGTCGCATTAAGTAAATGCAAGTGGGAGTGTCCTATCGCTATTAAAACGTTTATGTCTACATACGTTGACACATTTGTGCTCGCAACTGTCATTGCATCAATGTCAACGTATCGGCAACACTGACATATGTTACAAAACACACACGCTACACACACATACCCACACAAACAGACTTTTATTTTCTCATTTTGTGCCCGTGTCACCTTTGAGGTTATACGCGACTCTACTATTTGCTTTAAAAAAGCCATTTATTCTGCTTATGTACTTACACTCTACATCCAATATAATCCGTTTTGACACCGAAGGTGGTACGCCATTTGTTGCTATGCATAAATACGCGCCCATTTCATTCCGGCTAACTTTGGTCAGCGGCAACACTTCACCGTCGTACACCAACACTGCAAAGGCAGAGATGTGATATGCACAGCCCGCACCAAAAGTTTTTCATGTTACATTGCATGTTACAGTGATGAATTCATATAAATTGTTGCAATTTGATGTATTCAAGCACAGGAAAACATTTGAAAAGTTTTTGTTTTTTGTTGCATATTTATTTGTTGTTGTTGTTGTGGTTGTTGTTGTTGGCGACGGCAACGTGGTGTCAGTTTTTGTTGTTTGATGGTTTCATGGAAATTGTGTCATTGGCAACATTCATCATTGGCGGCGAGAGGTTAACAGTTTCGTAGTTTAGCGTTAAATTAAAACATTTTGTTGCAGAGATTTTTCAACAATTTTTTTCACAATTTTTAGTTGTTGTTTCGTGGGTTCATTGTTGTTGTAATTAAATAAGTTATTATTTTTTGTTGGCGCCGGTTGGAAATAAATTTTGGTTCCATGTTAAAAATTTCATAAGTTGGAAACGATTTAAAGTTGGTAGCGTATTAAAATGACAAAAAAAAAACAAGTTAGAAAAATATTTGTTTTTTAATTTTGACAAACAAATCCGGTTATCATATATAATTTGTTATATTAAAAATTTAACATAATAATATAATAAGCTTCTAAATAAAAATAAATCAAAGTTAGGCACCATTAGTGCAGCAGTTAGAGTCTCCAACGTATCTGCTAGAACTATGTAGTTCGTCTTGTTAATATATGCATGAGTTTTAATTATAAAAATTAAATGAAACTCTACGCAGTGATACATTCGACAACAGATGTTGATATAGATTTTTTATTCACAAACATGTCTTAGAACATTGGAAAAAGTGTTATTTTGATTATAACCTGGAGTAGGACTTACTACTTAAAAAAGTTTCAAAAACTGAAAATCGTGCTTTGGAATTTAATAAAAACTGATTGAAATCAATAAAATTAAAACATTTAACTATAATCTAGTAAGATAACTTAACGACGTTAAAATGCGTTGAGAGACACATTTCTACATTAATACCTTTAGTATGATAAACGATATTGTAAACTTGAGTCGATTGAGGTATTCGGTGATAGATATTTTTATAAAACTTCTGGTTAAGTTGTTATTCTTATATTTAACAAGAAAGTTTTACATGTAATCATTATATTGTCCACTCTTTCACTTAATTCAATCTGCCCAAAAATGTAGAATTATGGCAAAGTTTCAGTATATGCAATTCGAAAAACAGATATAGAACTAATGAAATTTTGACAAATGGTCACGCAAATTTTATGCTCCTTTTGATCATAGCCTAATGACATTCTATGCAGACAGTCATATGACGAATAGTCACGGAAACTTTATGCTCCTTTTGATCATAGCGTAATGACATTCTATGCCGACCGTCATATCACAATTGTCAATTTACTACTTTTACTACTATTTTGGTAAGGTTTTTTTGGTATCTAAATTTAAATGCTTACATATCCACATAAAAGTTGATATCTTTACTCTTAATATGCGCAATTTTTGACATTTATTACTGAGTAACCCTGTTTTGACGAACGTGAGAGGCACAGAAAGACTTATTACTGTGATATTATCTATTTTATATATCTATAACTAATATAATATATAATAATAATACGTAAATAATAATGTAAAAAATAAATATATATAATATAAATATTTATATATATATTTTATATTTATATTTATATATATTTATATATATATATATATATGTATATATATATATATATATATATACATATATAAATGTACATTATATTCTTATTATTATATATGTAATATACAATATAAAATAATATCTATTTATTTTATCTATTCTATTTCACCAAACATGACAATGTATCATTCTGTCTTTATGTATGTACCACAGAAGTACAAATTCAGTTGTACGAGAATATCTACCAATGAGGTATATGAATAAAATAATAAAATATATAAAATCAACTAAGTCTCAAGCTAGGCAAAAGTGGAGTCGACTTTATTGAATAAAATACTACTCGAATATAAAATCATTTCCTTGAAGGTGCAGAGAAAAGTCACCTCCTTTGAATTACATACCTCACTTAGTTTAATATTGCTTTCCAATTAGTGCGAGACAGAAACACGGTCCAATAACAATTTGAAAACAAATAAAGGAGTGCCCAAAGCGTTTTGCATATTACGGTGAAGGACTCAAAACGGGAAGGATTTCACATTTTTTTATATAGACAAAGTTCTTAAAATAATATTGTAAAATGCTAAGGTAACACGCTAATTAAAAGAATTTATATTGAAGAACAGAGTGATCAAATATGGGGTTTTTCCTAATTGTTTAGCAAAACTGCGGATTATGATCATATGATTATGATTAACGAAAAAAATTAAATTTTGAAGCCTCAAGTTTTTTTACTGACTAAAAGATAAACAAATTCTTTTATAATATGGGAATATTTTTGTTTCTAAATAAATTTTAAGTATTTCATTCAAAAACATATTTTAAAAATGTCAACCTCTATGTAATAAAATCTTCGAAAACATATTCTCAATAAAGCCATCATACTACTTTACACTGCACACTTGGCGAAAAAAAAATTAAAATATATATAAAAAAAAATACTATATCTGAAAACAACAAATTTTTAGGTGAAATTGAAAAAGTAGTAAATAGTTTTTTACTCTTAAATTTTTTCGTTAGCACATGCACAATGTTATGTAAAGTTTTACCTTTTTTCTTCTTTTCCACAGCAATTTCTTCGCCGTCCTCACGACGCCAAATAATTTTCGGTGTTGGAAACCCATCTGCTCGACATGTCATATTGATATTTTGGTTCTCACGTACAGCCACAGATGATGGTGTGCTTTCAATATCCAAAATGTTCGGTGGCACTGTAAGGAATTTTAAAAATTTTTGTAACCATGAGGTGAAGTTAGTTGCAGTTGGTTATATAAAGGATTTATATATATATATGAACATATAAATTATACATTATTTGTAAGTTTGAACTCACCAACGACTTGTAGGTAACCGACTTGGCTTATCATAGGATTTGTATTCACTTGACACATGTAATACCCACGATCATCTTGATGCGCTTGGTTAACGTGCAACAGCCAAGTATTTGCATTATCGTACGTGATACTGTAACGTGGTATCCTGGAGATTACGTGCCGATGTATGGTCAATATCATTTGTCTATCGATGTGTATCCAAGCAACCTTTATATTGCAAATAAAAAAAGAAATAGTTTTGGTGTAAAAATCTATTAAATAACTAAAGTTTAATTTACTTTTAAATTTTTTAAAAATACAGCAAAAAGTAACTTATTTTGAATACGATATGAAATAAATTTTACTTATACATTTTATATTTTTATATACTTGTAAATATTCAGCTATGTTTGATTTAAGTCCTGTATTAAACTTTCAGACCTAATTTTTCAGACGTAACTTAAGCCAGTTTTGAGACGTGAATTCACATTCACCGCCGTTAGAAGAGGGATCAAAACATATGTTACAAAGAGATTAAATCACAGAAATAACATGAAATAATTGCTATAGTTTACAATTCTCTAGGACGTAAGACTTTTATATATAGACTTTTATATATATATATGCCTTTTATATATATATATTGCAGTACATTGCTCGCCAAATCTATGATGAATCAGATGAATTAGTTATTGAGTAATTAATGTAAATACACAAGTCTGATTGTAAAGATGTGGCGACAGTGGCGCTCTTCTAAAGGTGATACGATACTTTATGTATGTATAATCCAATTGTTTTCTCTGCTTTTAGACTTACACAGATAAGAAAAGCATCTTCGAATGATGTTGTTCGTGTAGTTATATGTTCATTCCTTTTAAACTTTAATAATATAAGAAGAAACTTTCAATAGATCGACTAACGATATAAATCTCACAATATGATGAGGTTGTAAGTCCTGATAAGATCAATCTATTTTTGTATACCAACAAAAATAAAATTCGAGCTTTTACGCTGTAAATGAACACAGACTCACTTTTTCGAACAAATTTTAGCAATTAGGAATAATTGCGGGTGCAAATCTTAACTGGAAGTCTAATGTTGAAGGAAGATATCACAAAGGATATGCGACTTTTTAACTATAATAAAGAGATGAGTGATACAAACAAATGATTATGACCCAAAATTATATTTTGGTTATACATAATTATCAATGAAACAATTCTGTTAGTATAATCTCTAATATAGTGGTCATCGTTTAATAAGCGTTTGGTGTTCCCTTCACTTAAACACTCTACTGAAGACACAGTTTATGTCTAAATTCTCTTCTTCCACCTGTTGCTTTAAATATCGTTTTCGCTGAAGTATCATCATCCATTCTCACGACATGACGAAGTTAGCGAAGCCACTAGATGCTAATTCGATGAAATATATCAATATTGTTGTAAAGCTCATTCAACTCGTAGTTCATTCATATGCAATAGTCATCGCCAACACTTAAATTACCAAATATCTCTCGAAAAACGTTTCCCTTATCTTTATTAGTATTTTATTTTACACATAATATAAAGTATTGCGTATTTTAAAGTATTTCATTTCCAATATATTTCATTTTCATATATGTTATATATTAATTATATTTCAATTTAACTTAATTGCATTAATTGGTATTTATTTCAAATTTATACCAATCATTTCTATTCATTCTATCACTGAGTATTTTTTATTTTCTACTTTATTTTATCATTTTTAAGTGTATCACCAAATTATAAGCCATATGCCACATCAATTTTTCATGAGCACTTTATGTAGCGACAAACTTCATAAAAACTCCTCATACATATGAACAGTAGACCAATATGTTCCATGTTCATTCATTCGCAAGTTAAATATGTGTGCATATGCCTACTGAAACTTACTATGCTCCTATGTCTGTTGATTCATATGGGCAGGCTACTATCGATATGTATGTGAGGGCATACATGCAGACAGAAATAAAAGCACTCATGCTTCAAGTCTAACACTCACAACATAAAAATGAGTTTTATTTTAGTGAACAAAAAAAAATTTGACAAGTTTAAAACACTGTCGCTTGTATCTTTTTTGTTTTGTATTTCTTTTTTCCAATTCCATTTTCTACTTGTTCTTTCACTATTCACCCTTGATTCGCAATTTTTTATTACTTTTTTTTTTGTAAAAATATTACCCAAACAAAGCGCTCTTCTATGTTTGTAAAGTTTTTCAATTTACAAGTAAAGTAATGGCAATAAGTTCATAATAACAAACACACACATATTCACGTCACTGTATGTACATGTGTATGTGCAGGCGTTTGTGAGTTCATTTAAAGAATGACACATCAAAAGCATACAAACGAGCGGGCAGCTTGCAAAACTAACAGCAAAGGCGGACTGTCATGCAGTGACAGTTTAAAGTTGAGTTCAAATATTTGTCCCAGACGTTTAAAGACATGTCAGAGCACACATAAGACATACATGTGCTTTATATAGTTTAGGTCATATATAGTATATAATTAGATATGAAAAGCTTTGTATATCTTTTTTATCGTTTGGTTTTGTTGTTAGTTGAGTGAAAAATGTTATTTAATTTTTGACCTTGTTTTGGCAAAGCCGTCAATAAAACTGTATAATATGATATTATACAAGTTGAGAACTTATAACGTACTGATTTATTTAGTCTATTTATTTGGTTGATATAAATTTTCTTGTGATTTGTATTATGGCACATCTGTCTAAATAAATACTAATTTACAATAAGACTTCGTGGCATATGTGCCTAAATAAACACTAATTACAATGATAACTACAATAAAACAATTCTACTGTAAAACCCGTGGCTTAATATAAGAATTATAAAAAGCTACTTTTGTTAAGGAAATGCTATTTTGTATTGATTGGTATTGTGACATATAGCACATTGACTAATAAGTTCATAAGATAACACACTCATAACACACTAATAAGATTTTCAAACAAATTTTAAAAGTGGCAATTTTTAAATAACACCTATCACCAATTTATGACATTTGATAAACAGCTGTGATGCTAATGTTTATATTTTCAGCACAATGGATACAAAGGAATTTCGTGTCTGTTTTTGATTGCTTTTCGATGGAAAACACTTTGGTGAAGAAGTGGTTTGCTGACCTTTGACGCGTAAAAGGGGTGGTGACACCTGAATCGCTGGACGAATTATAGTTTGAATTGCTTCTGTACCTATCATATTTGTGAGATTTAGTCACCAGTTATTGCTATTCGTTCGTGGATCTCAAAAAAACACTCCAAATACTCCAGATTAGGTTCCGACTAATAAGTTACTGCCGAATTTAAGAAATATTTTAAGACCAAAGATAAGTCCTTCCACAAGATAAGTATCGAAATATTATAGAAGCACTAAAACTGCTGTAATATTCTTGAAGGAAACTTACTTACTAAGACGTGACTAATATTTGGACCCTTTCGGTAACCTCTTTCAACCAGCCCAATTAGTGCCTTGCTCCTTCTGTTTGTAATACCGAGTGATTCAAATAGTTTATCATCTTGGCCTTTCACTAAAGATGCAAACCATCTCTTTCCAATTAGTGGGTACTAAACAAAACACCTTATTAGCCGACTTTCTTCTCTTACAGGGCATTGTTTCATCTAATTCGATACTTATTACCAATGAGACCAATTATCATAGATCTTCTGAAGAATTTTTATCTCGAATGGTCTTAACGAATGGTCTTCTCACTACTGTTGGTTATTGTACAAGTTTCTACAACATCTAGCAGAACAGACGTTAAAAGATACTTGTGATTTTTGTTTGTGAACATGAGTGCCCTTTATTTCTCAATTGCTACTTAGCTTGAAGTGACATCTGTTGGCAAAAGTGATTTTTCGTTGAGTCTCTACATCATTTTTGGTGTTTACGCTGGTTCTTGGTCTTTCACAAATAAATAGTCTTTCACAACATTGAAATTATACTTGAGTCAACGAATAAAGTCAAATTTGGCCAAAAAGTTTTTTTTTATGGATTTTCCTACCGGTTTATAAGTAATAGTTGAAAAATCGAGGTTCCAAATGAAAACTCTCAACCTGTTGGTCTTAGTATTATCTATTGCCTTTCTTTGAAGTATTATAAGAAAAGATATTAACAAATTCCTAAGTTTTAAGTGAAAGAATTCAATCAATTTTGCTTAGTATTTTGCTTGTTTTTATTCAACATATTGGAAAATAAGATATGTGCAAAATATTTCAGTTGTTTGGCTCAAGTCAAATCAATAGTAAGAAATTTAACTTCTTAACATCATCATTATAACCTTTTTCAAAGTTTTTATTTCAAAATTTTATAACTAAAATTTATTTAAAATTTTTTTACACAATAATGATCTTGTGTCAATAAAAATGCTTAAGTAAAAATTTTATTAAATAAAATAATTACCTTATAGCCGCCCAGATGCTCCACGACGCAAGGTAAGTTGGCGTCCCTTCCAACAGCAACGGTAACATTTGGTATTGGTTGTGCAAAGCGTGGTTCGTCCATCATAACTGAAAGAAAAGTTAAATATTAGTTTGGAACAAAAGGTAAATATATTTTACAGAGAACTTTGTCACAGTAAAAACATGTAAAACTTTACTCGAGCAAACTATTTCACCTCTCAAGTTTATACGCTGTTAAGTCCTGCAGCCTCCGTTTTCCCTCATAAAACCAATTAGGGAAACTTAACTAAAACTTAATTAATCAGTAAAGAACTTCATATAACAAAAGCCAATGACCGCCCGTCCGCTTAAAGCAAACTACTTCAGTTAAAGCAGTTGACGAGGAGCGCCCGGAAGGTACTGGAATAGTGACTGCCGGTGACGAGCATTAAAATGGCAGCAAAACTACTACTTTTATGCATAATTTTGCTTTTCAAATTTAATTAAGTTGGTAAAGTTTTTCACCCTCTTTTCAAAAAAAAACCAGTTTTTTTAAATATTTTTTTATATTTAACTTGCAAGTTTTAGTCCAGCAGCTTTAGTCGGAGGTTTAGTCAAGTTATGCAAGCAAAAGTGAACCGCATGCGTTCCCACAGGAGCGTGAAACTGTTGCAACAGCTGGCGAAATGGTAGAGAAAGTTCCACCGCTCAAGGACAACGTGCGGCTCCATACAATGCAAGTGTATGAGGATGAATTGCACTTTCATTTAATTAAGACGTTGCACATTTAGAAAACTGGTCCGTACTGTACTGCAAGCGGATCCGAAGTTAGGGGTGCACAAAGTTTAATTGCTTTTGTTAAAATAGATGTTCCATTTTAAAGGAAATAAAAATAATTTTGAATTCTATGAAACTAGTTCAAAATAAATTTTTTAGAGCATAAATAAATTTTTCCCCACTTAATGCATGTAATTATTAGAAGACTAATACGGATGCATTAACACAGAAGTGCTTGATTTTTGGAAATTTATTATACGAGTACTGTTCAAAAAATCATTATTTGTAGCAAAAACTTTTAAAATCACTAATTATGAAAATGAAAATAAAGTCATTAATAAATAATTTCATTTAACTTGTATTTATTAAGGTGAATTCTAAAGGGATCATATGTGTTAAGTGCACAAATTAAATTAATAATAAAAGAAACAGACTCTAGAAAGATTCTAGTTTTGAATTGGGGTCAGTAAACTGGAGCAGTGAAAGCATAGACGAATGATCTTAAACGAATAAAAGACATCCCAGGTTATGAAAACAAAATCCACCAAGTTATACACATTAGTAAATGTATAAAAGGTTAGAGTTTCCAATGACTGAAACGGTATTTATAAATGTATAAAAATATAACATATTCAGATTAAGAAATTTGCATCAAATTAATAGTGTTTGTTTTATTTATGGTTTTTATGTTTTAAAAACAAAATACAAGAATTTGCTTTTTGACTAGAATACATTTATAGTACTGACAGATGGGATCTTATGTTATAAAATTCTGCATTCACACATCTTATAAAAACAATACTTTTATAGTTGAGAAAGAATCATAAGTATCTGTTAGTTGATTCATCAAAAACGCAACTAAAATGTTTTGGGTTAGATTAGATTATTTCAGTCGTGTTGTCTTTTATAGCATATTTTTCTAGTGTGCAGTGACTCGTCAGCACAGGTATCTTAGTACTGAACAGATTACGTCTTCGTTTAAGATCAATGTTCAGATCAGACAGCAGGATTCATCTGCTCAAGATTGTTTAGCTATTAACAGGTTTTTTTTTGTGGTTCCCAGCTTGACCGAGATATAATGTCAGAGATCAAATTGCTTGCCTTGGCAAGCTTGCCTACCCTGCAGTTGCCCGACGTGACCCTGTAACCAGTGCCCCTATAAGCTAGACACTGACACGCATAGCTAATATATTAAGAGAAGATATTCTAAAATTGTTGAAGATAGCAGCTTGCCTGTTCACGAAGTGTACAAAATTTACATCGGCTATTATATTAAGTGTGTCTTACGACCCATTTTGTAGCTTAGTGAATCGCCATTAATTCTGTCTAAAAGACAGTGAAATAGATTAGTAGTCGAAGTAAGATGCTAAAACGTAGCTTATGGAAATTATACAACAGTCGACTCTTAAAACAAGTTTCGAACCGTCTTCTAAAAAAACTGCGGTTGCGATTTCCGGAAACTGTTAGTACTACATAGAACAAGAAACTTCTTCAAATATCTTTGAAAGATTCCCTTTCATTATAAAATATAGGAGAAGTATTTTCCATAATGAATTGATTTACACAATCAGAATTGTCAAACATTGATTTTAAAACCCAAAGATCACAGAAGAAATTCTTCGGTAATCACAGATAATTTAAAATTGTAGTCTTCTAAGTTAAATGTAATATGTATTCCATCAGGCAAATGTGCTGTGCTTCAAACTATACTTCTGCAAATTCACCTGAATAATTATATATCATAATTTAATAAAGTTATTGTGTAAAATTGCATTAAATACTAATTCGCGTTGCACCAGGCAAAGAAGAAGAAAAAGAGATAGCTTAGGATAGACAAGCCCACGAGAAACCCATAAGTCCAAATACTAGTATTAATACTACTTTTACAAGCGGAACATCCATTTCAATACAGTGTATTATAAAAGCTTAATAATGTTTAATGGCAAAAATACAAATAAATAGAAATTTAACCCAATTTTATTATAATTTAGGGAATCCATAAATTAAAAAAAGCATTTCAAATATCCACACCTTTAACAGAGAACCACACAAATCATATCAACAATTAAGTTTCTTTGCCTCAACTTCGTTGATAAAAACTTCCAGAACAAAAATGATGTCCTTATGCACATTTAGTTTCATTAAAAAATCGTATAAAAAAGGAAAAAATTTTTGAACGAACAAAAAACCGACTCTTCGTATAACCGAAAGAAGGATAACCGCGACTCACTACTCTACAACAAAGTAAACACTCTGCCTTGTTCTGCAAAAAACGCACAACAAATACAAATTAAATAAAATAAAAATACTATTCATGCTTGAGGGCAAAAGTTATCATCATTATTATCATTATTATCATCACGACCGCCATTACGGCGTACTAAGCACCAAAACACATAAAAACTGCTTTTTTATCAACACTCAACAGGCCTATTAGCTGCTTACGCTGCTGCTGCTGGTACTTCTGCTTACGCTGCGCGTTAGCCATTTACTTGTTGTTGTCTTTTCAGGCGCTTGTACTTACTACTCTGGTATCAACTTTAAATAAAAACCAAGCAGCAATAATACAACAATAAAAGTCGAAAAGCAGAAGAGTGGAAGGAAAGAAGCTGGAAAGCAATGAAGCACCTGCAGCGTCATCACGTAATTATAAAGCGACGTTATCTATGCAGCATGCAACTTACAAACGCTATGCTTGCTTTCTGTTTCTTCCTTTCTGTTTTCTTTTTTTATTTTTCACTTTAGTGTAGCTGGTGTTATTGCTTTGTTGTTGTGGTGGTAGCTTGCGGCACTAGCCAAATGGTGCTGGCTGGGCTTTGTTCATAACTAACTTAACTGGATGGTGTTTTGTCTTGTCGTAGTTTTTGTCTCTGGCAACAAAACGCGTCTTTTCTAATTAAATTATGTAGCAAAATTTTTGCTCTTTGTTACAACCAAAAACGAAACTTTCAAATTTTACATAAACCAACTTTTTGTGGTCCTTAAAGTGTTAAAAGAAATTTGTTGAAGAAAATTTACTGAAAGTGGTAAATAAAATTCCAAAAATTAGTGGAGGCGAAGGTATATAGTTATAGTAAATATCTTTTCTTCATTATTGTACTTAAACTTTGTATAATATGAATAGGAAATTAAATTATTTAAAAATCCTTAACAGAATTTACTAATATTATTCAACGATACGCTATAGTTCATTCATAAAAATGAGCATTGGTACCTCAACTCCACAACATGCAATAAAATAATTAAAGTTCTGAGTGCCAGCTAGCAATATCGAAAAAGGAATATAAAATAAGATAAAAAAATATTACATTTTAACCAACTAAGTTTGATTCAAAATCTCTGGCAGTTCGATGTCCCCCAGCATTCTGTGATAGCATCAAAGAAAAACTAAAAAATAAAATAGGATTCACTTTGTTAACTAACAAAGTCGTATTCACAATCTCTGGCAATTCGATGTTCCGCAGTATTCTGTAATATTTTAATCTAATAAAAGACCAAGTCGATTCATCTTTGTCCTATAATTTTTTCATTGTCACCAATGCTCATCAAATTTTGACATGCTTTCTAATCTCTCAACGGGAGATATCCCTCTCCAATAGAATTCTGTTAAGAAAATTTATTTTGCTAACGTCTTCCTCAACTTCATAAAGTAGTCTGATTCACGTCGTATCTCTAATAAGTTTAATGCTCAACTAAGGACTATTATTCGTTAGTACCTCTAATCCGCGTCGTATCTTTAATGAGCTTAATACTAACTTTAAGGCCCTCCTTCGTTTTTAAACCAGGTAAAACATTAAGCTCAATCTCTTTGAAAATTCTGCCATCTTTCTTCCAAATACAAAAATATTTAAGGGGTTTTCATAACTGACCCATCAACTAATAGTTCGCCAATATTCGCATACAGATTGTTCACAAAATTAATTGTTGAACATCTTTATACCTAATTCGCTATTCCTAATATTGAACTAAAAAATGTCCTTCGAGTACAGAACCACCTTATGGTAACTGCTACCTTAAGCTCTTCAGCTGCACGTAGCTTATGCGCTCTATACTCTCAACGCCTTCCCCATATAATCTGTAATCAGTTATGTACAAATGGAAAATCTCTTTCTCATTAGGCGAAAGGCCCTCACTGATTGCATCAACTACAAGTCTATACTTCGGTGAAAAATATTCAGATACTTCCATCCATCTCTCTAGAACTCTGGTTTTCGTTAGTCTGGTCATGGAAGTCGTCGATGGGATTAATTACGCGCTCTGTACCTTCTTCAATACATACTAATCTGGATTTATCACATAGAAGCCTATGTACTTCAGTTATTTATTTTCCTGCAAGGTCAGCTCCAATTTTA